AAATGAAACCCAAAATCAATTTGACTTTTTCAGTCTTATCTTCTTCCTTGATTACTCAAGCCTGATCTTACTCAAATAATCGAACTTCTTTTGGATAAGCTCATACATTTAATTAACAGTGACTAGTTAAAAAAAATAAGCTACTTTTTGGGTTTCTTGATTTGGACCAAGCTTCTAGTATAATCATCAACATTAAAAGTCTCTTGCATTCTTATCTCCAAGAAGACCAATCATTATAAGATCATATTCAAGAAAAAAAAACCAAAATTTAAAATAAAATGCAACACAATGTGATTCCTTTCGTGGGGAATGGAACCAGTGAGCTTGTGCAAGAGTTAGAACTCAGAGACGTTCCAACAATACTCTAACGAAGCTATCTCTGGGAATTTCCTCTTCATTTCCTGTAACGATGTTCTTCAATGTCACAACACCTTCCTTGAGTTCTCTCTCGCCTAAAATCACCATCCAAGGAATCAAGGATTCCTTAGCACGATCGAAATGCTTCGCTCTTCTCTTGCTCACAAGATACTCTGTATTGATACCAGCTTCCCATAACTGGCTAGCCAAATCCGCAGCTTCCTCTAGCTTGTTATCAATCATTACACTAACCAAAACTTGTGTCTCCGTAGGTCGAACCACCTCAATTCATAGCAAAGAAAGAAAAACAACGTTCAGTACCAATCTTTTCGAATTAGGAACGACAAAAAAAAAGCATAAGAGTTTGGGAAGTTACCTGTTTTTGTTGCTCTTCCATTATGTTAAACACTCGCTCGATCCCCAGGCTCACGCCAACCGCAGGGACTTGCCTTTTTCCAAACATCCCTATGAGGTTATCGTATCGCCCTCCAGCAGCAATTGATCCAACCTGCACAAAAGAAGATGTATTCATATAATGCTTTTTCTAATTGAATTGCAAGAAGCAAGTCGCGGGATTTTTTTACCTCTGCTCCTACACAAACGGCTTCAAAGATGACTCCTGTGTAATAATCAAGCCCTCGAGCTAGACTAAGATCAAAGCTAATTCTGTGACTGCACTTTGATCTCTCAAGAGCGTCAAACATGATACTCAAGTCCTTAAGAGCTTCGTTTGCTGATGGGTTAGCTACAAATTCACTCATATCTTTTAGTTCATCCAACAGATCCTTAGGAGCTCCTTTCTTCTCGACATACTTGCCAATTTTCTCTGCAACCTCTTTAGACAAACCCTTTTCCTCCACCATTTCTGTCTTCACCTGCTCAAATGATTGCTTGTCTAACTTATCGATACTCGAACAAATGGTTCTGAATTTCTCAGCTGGTACTCCACATATCTCCAGCATTCCATCAAGCAACTTTCGATGATTCAGTTTCACCTATGTTCAAAGAAAACTGAAATCAAGAACATACGCAAGGAGAAAACAAACCAGGAAATATCAAGACTTTGAGATAAAGTTATTACCACAAAATCTCCAATCTCCAATTTATCAAGGAGTTCAGTTAAAATCTTGACAACTTCGAAATCGGGTCCCATTGGTTCAGACAAGCCAGCAATATCAAAATCACACTGATAAAACTCTCTGTATCTACCTTTAGATGGATTATCCCTTCTGTACACTTTAGCTATTTGGTATCTTTTGAATGATGTGATACCATTCATAGCCACATACCGTGCAAATGGAACGGTTAAATCATATCGTAAAGAGCAAAGCTCTCCACCCTGCGATTAAAATTAACCACGTGAGCATGAATTTTAACATCATTATCCACAAAACTGACCAATCACAGTAGTCACTAGTCAAGATGAGTTTTACCTGATCAGCAATATCGTAGATCAACTTTGAGTCTTCTCCGTACTTCCCCATAAGTGTCTCTCTCAATTCAAAAACAGGAGTGTCAAGTGCAGTTGCACCGTGTTTCTTGAAAACGCTTTGTATGATTGAAAATGCTTTTTCTCTTACTATCATTTGTTCTTTAGCGAAATCTCGAGTACCCTGTCATAAAAAAAAAACAAATGAGAAATAGACTAGAGGCCTAACATTTAGATGCTGAGATTACAATTTAGTTACCTTTGGAAGCTTGGGAAGTCTCCTGTTTTCATTACTTTCTACTATCTCTTTCACTTTGGCCAAGAAACAATCAAAATCGTAGCCCTCGGGATTAAAAAGATTTAAGATTTGCTCCACCCATTGGTTCAATGACTTTATCTGATCATCAACACTAGCTGCCTCATTACGCACCAATCTATCTTTGATAAACTGAATAAGTAAGGTTGTCCCCTTCCCCAAAACTGCTTTTTTCTCGTTCTTCTTTTTCTTATCGGTTTTCGACTCCTCTTTATCTGCATCTCCGCTCTTCTTAACAAACAATTCTCCACCCGCAAGAGCAAAAAAGGCAGCAACTGCCTCCAAACCAACGAGCCTCCGTACAATTCCCAAAGACTCATTCAATTCGTGAGCAAATCTGCAGTAATCCTCTTCAAAGAGAGCATTATAAGCTAACTTATAGCTTTTCTTCAGATTCTCATACTCAACACAGCTCTTTTCAAACACTTCAGACAAACCATTCCTCAGAATCTCATTACCAATCGATGCAAAACACAGCTTAGCACGAAGGAACGAACATTCTCCCAAGCTTTTAATCGGCTTTGACAAAGCTGATAATGTTGCTCCTAAAGCCTCACCATTCCCAGAGTTTCCAGACCCAGTTTTGCCTCCTTTAACACCAGTATTCAACTCTACACGAGCATCCGAGTGCACGCTTTTCACTACGTCCCTAAATTTTCCATGAATCCTCGGGATTTTTGAAATCTCTTCGATTTCAAATTTCCCTACAGCTTTAGACCCATTAAGCAAAACCTTGAGATCACTAGCAACACCAATTGCGTCTTTATAACCAAACCCATCTCCTGAATCTAACGAGCTAAACGAAGTGATATCACCTTTTGTAGCCTCGCAACTCAACGCAGCAACAGAATCCACAATCTGAGTAAGAACCGTGGATTTGTGATCTATAATCGAACAGATTCCAATCAACGAAGCACAAGACTTCTCTAACACAACGTTTTCGCCTTCTGTTACTTCAATCTCACCAGATTCGAAACTCTCGCCCTTCGAATTCAGAATCTCCAAAATCTTATCTG